GTACATGACACTCACCGGACGCAGCGCGTGCACTGGATGCAGCGGGTCATGATGGTTTTAATGAGAGGCCCGATGTTTTTGTCCTCCACTGCTCTCTTTCCTTCTGAGAAGCGGCTGCGGTCTGAACCGAACTGCATGGACTGATCCTGAGAAAAGAGGAGAAAAAGACGGGAAAAAAGCTGATCCTTTGATCTAAATGCGCTCATGAGAATAACTTAAATTACACTTCTGCAAGGTTACCTGCAGGTCACACTCTCCTCCCTGATCACAAATAGGGCAGTCCAGTGGGTGGTTGGCCAACAGGAACTCCATTACTCCCTCTCTGATGAGACACAAACACATGAATACACGCCTTTAGTTTTCCTTCGTTTGACTTGATGTTTTCAAAGTGTGCCCAAAGTTTGAATAACATTAAGCTAGAACCAGAGACCGCTACAGTTTTTACCTGGCTTTTCGTGTTTTCTCTGAGTTGGTGAGGATGTTCCAGCCTTTCATGACGGGCATGGCGCAGGCTGCTACTGGCTGAGGGCACATGACACAACACGCATACATTACAAATAAATTACTAATCATTTGCGCTGAGATTGGTCCCAAAGCATCTTAAACTCAGTCTCAGCTAAAATCATTTTCATCAAGTATAAACAGGAGCCTGACGTTACCTTTGGTGCTTTCTCAATCTCCACCAGACACATGCGGCAGTTTCCTGCCACAGAGAGGCGCTCGTGGTAACAGAACCTGGGGATTTGAACCCCGACCTTCTCACAGGCCTAGCCAGGAAAAGAAACAAGGCAATTTGGTTAATATACGTGATGTGAAATTACAATCCAGGCTTTGGCGAATAGATTGCCAGGTATTTTACGTTTTCTTGCTAATTTTGTGGTCTGCCTTCTTTAGAATTAAAATGTGAAAATGACTAACAGATGAGTCGAAGCTTTGCTAAAATATGCACATTCCTATTGCACTAATATTCCTTTATAAAACAGGAAAGTGACTAAATGTCAGTTGATCTGTCCTTAGTGGTTACTGCCCAGTTGACTGGTGCTTGAGGGAATCATAAATCCAGACTGCGTGGTGTTATTTCACAGTGTTTGAAAACTAGGCCAAAACTTAATCCAGAGATTAGTTAGCTACCTAAAACTGACCCTCTATCCTTGTTACTCTACACTGGCTACCTGTTAGATACAGAATTAGTGTATTTGAGCCCATTTTTGAATATGAAGCTCAGATTCACTTTGATGCACGAAATTACTGTCATGAAAACACAGATACCACAAAGTACTACACAGCATGAGCTGGCAACACTAGGTGACATCTACAACAGCTTGCAGTAAAATTGTGTACTGAAGCTTTCGTACCTGCAGCACAGTAGTTCCAGGCTCCACCTCCACTGGTTTCCCATCCACAAACACCTCCACCATGTTGCTGGCTGCACGCACTGGGGTACGCACTTGAAGTGCATGCACATAGAAAGAAAAGATCCTACTCAATCAACAGGCACATTTTTATGCCTGTTACATGCATACAGTAGGTGCTACATTTAGAAACTTGCATTAACTGCTATGTAATCTCGACTCTAACTCACAGACCATACCTGGGTTGGAAGAAGCCAGGCTGCCCTTGGCAGCTCCAGCTAGAGCCCGGCCAACGGTCGGCAGTCGCAACATGACTCTGTGAGAGAAAACATATGAGCGCTACTCAATGTGCTAATGCTGAAGTCATCATAATTACTTAAAGTGTACAGAAGTGTTTGCAAAGGAGAAAGCAAGCATAAATGCCAGATCTTTACTATTGTTTTCATAACACAATCACTACAGTGCAGAAAAACGACAGTGCACTAAAGGGCTCTGCTGTTGCCACTTTTGTCCCCATCTATATTCTGAAAATGCTGGCGACCAATAAAAGAAACATGCAAAATCATGTCGCTCACAAGGCAAGTTACAGTGTCCTACATCTGTAATACACCTGAGGTCCTCAGCAGTGGCGTCATGTACGTAATTAATTAGATATTTGCAGCGATACAAGTTTGTAATACAAGTTTCCTACTTTATTACAAGCTGTACAAACTCTCCTCATGAGACTTTCTTTTTCATAGGGTGGACAAATTACTACATAATCACATTTTACACATTAAATATAGGATTTATTACATGGTTGTTATGTTGGATTCAGTAAGTCTAGTTTAGGTGACAAACTCCTACTCCTGAGCCACGGTACCCAGTGCTTCTGGGCTTTGCAGTTGTCAACAATAACAAGTGTTATGGCCGTGATTTCAGTGTTCAGCATTTTAACAAAATAATGCAGAGAAATGAAGAATTTACAAATAATATCGAGACAACAAAACATCAAACAGCACAGTACAACGGCTTTAAATAATACTCTGCTTATGTGGATGTGCTAATGAGCTGCGGGCTAACAGTGACAGCTAACAGTATTACTCAAGGACACAGAGACGCTGCATGTTCGTAGAGGGTAACTGAAGTTATAAGCTCAAATATTTCCTTTTTCGTTTCCTTCCATTTAATTACACATATATGTCGATGCGTTCATGTATGCATCACATTTGTTTGGTTCTTACCTTTCGCTATTTGGCCTTCTGGACCAGAACAGCGGTGATCTTAGTTATACCACCAATTGAAACGGCTATGGCGTTAGCGGAAATAGCAGGATGTCGTGTTTCCGCTTGAATACGAGGTCACACTTTTCACAATAAAAGTCTTAAATTCGTTCAAGCACTAATATTCAGCATAAATTGCAGTTTTCATTTACAGTCTGTAGATTCAATGTAGCAACAAAATGTCCCCGACTTAAAAAATTAAAAAAAAATTAAAGTAAAGTAAATTAAAAATGTAAAATAAAATTTGAAATCTCAATCATTTAAAACATGACGGTGTTTGAAAAAAAAGAAACTGAACTCGGTTTGTAAATTTTATCTTGTGGATATAAAATGTATTAATAATATGGAACAAAGTAATGATATATTGGTCTGTGTTTTGGGAAAAAACAAAACAAACAAACAAACAAACAAACCCACTGATAACTACACGGCGTTTTAAATTGCCACACTGGAGACTTTCTCGCCGTATGAAAGTTCAAACTTCACCTTTGACTACATTTCCCATGAGGAAGGGAACGTTACCGGAACTATCTACGTGTGCATTTTCGCGACAGTTCAGGAAGCATCATATGCAAACAGCTACAGAAAACGAGCAGTAGTTTGGGCTTTCTCATGTGAAGGACTACAAGAGAAACAGGTAATTTTGTCTTTAAGTGAGGAATTTCAGTCGTTTACCAAAAAACTAAATAGCTACTGTTCAATTTGCGTTATGGTTATTGCTGGTGAGACTTAACGGGCCGTCTCATCTTATTAAAGTAGCTAGCAACGTGCTAACTGTGTCTGCTAGCAAACAAAGCGACAAGGAGATTAAAACATATCAGTGTTTATGCAGGAAGTCACTATTATTATTTAGTATGTGTCCTATTTAATTGCTACGAATGAGATGACTTTACATAATGTGTAGATGTTTGATGCAACTTAGTGAAAATGCACCAGATAGCTGCTTCTGTGCTGTTCTTTTTAAGCAGTTGTTTTTTTATTGAAGAAAGCCAAGAATGCTTATCAATCACAACTTGCTGTAGGACATATATAATATTACAGGTTAAGAAGATATAGTGTGCAAGTTTGCTTTGCAGGACTATGTGCCAAATTTGAAACCTGAATTTACAGCTAAGGTACAGCTTATATATAACTTACACTAGGCTGTAGGGCATCGTGTCTAGGAGTTAAGCTTGATGAACTTCTCTATGGCTGTCCATGGTTTTCCAAAATGGCTTTATTGTGGGTTCCTTATCAATTTTACAATCACGCACCAAACCCTTCATACTAAGCATTTAAGCACATTTATATGGCAAATGTATCACACAGAGCATGTCAGGTGTAATAAAAATGAGTGGAAATGCACGTAAATCATCCATCATTGCTCTGGAAGCTTTGCAAGTAGGCATAAAATGGCATAATACAGTATAGTTATAAATTCATCCTAATTTTGTCTCAGGTTAGAGTCCTTTTCACTTTTCACTCTTCTCATCTGATTTTCAGCACCATGTTGCCAACCACAAACAGCAACGGTGCCCTGGCTTCCAGGGACGCTGCACGCCACACAGCGGGTGCGAAGCGCTACAAGTATCTGCGGCGGCTGCTTCATTTCAGACAAATGGACTTTGAGTTCGCCCTGTGGCAGATGCTTTACCTGTTTACCTCTCCTCAGAGAGTGTATCGCAACTTCCAGTACAGGAAACAGACTAAAGATCAGTGGGCCAGAGATGATCCTGCTTTCCTGGTCCTGCTCAGTATCTGGCTATGTGGTAAGTCAATACTCATTCCCTAAATAATTAAAGAGCACTGTGGTCAAGGTTTGATGAGGATATTTGTGAATTTTACCTCTAACCTAATCTGTTTGACTACATTTAAACAATCACTTGTCCTGCCAGTGAAACCCCGATGTTGGCTCTCTGCTATGATACCTAAACACTTCCTGTGTTGTTGTGCAGTGTCAACGATAGGCTTCGGTCTTGTGTTGGAAATGGGAGTCGTGGAGACGCTGAAGCTGCTGCTCTGGGTCGTCTTTGTTGACTGTATAGGAGTCGGTCTGCTCATATCAACTATAATGTGGTGAGCAGTAGCATTGAATAAATTAATGAGATGTCCTCTTATTTACTCTAATTAAGGCGTATTGTTTGTTCTTTACTGCATGCCAAATCGTATGTGTTCTTCTCCAGGGTGGTCACCAACAGGTACCTGCTGAAACAACCCAGCAGAAACTTTGACGTGGAGTGGGGCTACGCATTTGACGTTCACCTCAATGCTTTCTACCCGCTTTTAGTCATCCTGCACTTCCTGCAACTTTTCTTCATCAACCGTGAGTAGCCTGTAGATCTGTATGAGTTTAATCAGCATGTGTGAAATTAAATCATCTGATTCAAACCAACAAATGTTTGTCAGTACAGTTAAAATAAAATTTAAAGGGCTAAAGAAATGTTTATGATGCTCTTGCTTCACTACATTTCTCTTTTTCATTTCTTATTTCTTTAATTTTGTACCATGGCGGTTGCTAATATTTAGGCTCTCCATAGATGCATTACAGCACTGATGACTCTTCTTGTGTTTTGTGTGTTTTTAGATCTTGTGATGATAAGTTCAGATTGGTTCTTGGGATATTTTGTCGGGAACACTCTATGGTTGATTGCTATTGGTTATTATCTCTACATAACCTTCTTAGGGTACAACGGTAAGTACCCTGCACATCATAATGCACACAACTGGTGTGCTGCATGCATTTTCTTAATCTGTTTTTGATTTATTGCTGAAAATTCAATTTCATTATATCTTAGTTACATTAGAAATGAAAAAAAAATCTTATTTTTTTTAATTTATGAATTTTCAGGTTCATCATTTGTTGATTTTCTTAGTCTTAATCTTTGAAAATACTGACTGTTGATTTCTCCAACAATGTGTCACCTTGTTATCACTAAAAAGCTGCTGTAAATTGGTGATTAACGCCAAAAGGTGATCAGAAAAGTAGCATAACATTTTCTACTGCGCATGAAAATGTTTCATAAATTTTTATAACTTAACAACTATGATTTTGCTATAATTTACAAAGTCCAATCAGTCCTAATTTTTTAACATTATTAGTGTTTTATGGGCTTAGATGTGCAATAACAAAATGTAATACAGCACTAAACTGTAATCTTGATTTTGCTACCACCTAGTGGCCATTTGGTGACATTGACACAAGTGCAGCAGACTAAACTTTGAATTTGCACACATCTACAGGTTTTTTTTCGCTAAAGTAAAGTGAGAAGGGTTTAACTTATTAGAGATTCATTTTCTTTGTGGCTATAAAGCAGCATGATCACCATGGAGCACGTATACCTTGAGAGAAATGTAGTTTGTGTTTCAGTGTGATTGCAGTTCTTGCTGTCAGTGGTTCATGTAAAGAGTCTTCTCTTTCAATCCTCGCAGCTCTACCCTTCCTGAAGAACACCGTGGTGCTGCTCTACCCCTTTGCTTTGCTCGGCCTCCTCTACATCCTCTCCATATCTCTGGGCTGGAACTTCACTCGGGGTCTCTGCTCTTTTTACAAGTACAGAGTCATGTAGGACAGGCTTGCCTCTGAGATTGGACACTAGCTGGCTCCAGGCTGACGCAAAATCTGTTTTCAGCTCATCTCTAGGTGACAATGACTCCACGTCCAGCTGCTGTCAGACAGGATTTGGCTGAGAGGGACCTCTGGGGGACTCTTAGTAAACTGGTTGATTGATGCCGAGCTGGGTGACACTGCTCAGCTCTCTCTTGATTTTCTGTTTGGCTGTGATGTTGAGCTGCGGCTACAAAGTCCGTAAACGTTGATGTGTTCAGACTGGTGACAGAAACGATGGGGGGCGGGGATGAGACGCAGCTTTTACTGTTGTTTTTTTGTATGATTTGTAAATATGACTCTGGCAGGTTGTAATATAAACACAGAGGTTTGTTTCTGATGAGTTTGCTTTGTTTCTTTGAGTTTTCTTAAAAAAATAATCAGATTCTGCTTATTGAAGAAGGAAAAAAA